TAATATGGGACGAAATCTACTTGCCAGGATTATTCATTTTTTCAAATATTGTAAATTTATATTAAGCATATTTGATCATGAAATTACACTCGGTTGTTATGAAACAAACAGTAAAAAAAATTTTATTATAATAAAATATTTTATCGTTTATTATGGTCGATTCCAAAAAATCATGAAGTCTCACTCAATAATTTAAGCCATGATATAAAAAAAAAAAAAAAATCAGCCGTTTACATAAAAATGACTTTGAAATAGTAAGTATGAACTTAAAGATTTATGATTTAAATCGTAACTCTATATTAATTTTTAGTTAGGATATAGTGGTTTTTGATCGATTGGCTTTAAACAATTAAGAAGCTTTTAACCTCAACTTTTTACAATTAAAATTATGTTTCATAAAAATTTAATACTATTAATGACTCCCATCATCACGGATCTTTTTAATACTAATGTTTTCATTCAAACCCTAATCAAGTGCTTTTTAGGTATCACGAAAATCCCTATATCGATTGCTAATTCTGTGGACTTATACCATATGGCAACTCCAGTTTCCATTGTTCTTACAGGAAAAGAGTATTTGACCACTCCAAATAAAAAAAGATTCTTCTGGTTCCGGTATCATTAGAGAGGGCAATACCCTCCAATTCGAGATTGGTCATTAGTTTTTCTTGCACGAATCCTCATTGCGCCTTGGAAACTTTGTAAGAAACGGAATTAAATCTGCTTCGAGATATCATTTCTTTTCTCAAATTCGTATCTGACCTCTCCTCTCCCACGTTTATTTTCAGTTTTTAAAGCTTCATAATACGTACTTATTACGTTGTAATTATTACAAGATTAAAAACATATAATACAATAAAAATTACTAATCGCTATTAACAAATTAATAATTTAAAACATATGCGTTTGTTTCACTACATATTTGTTACTTATAAAAATCATTTAATCGAGTACACTAGCAAATTAAAAAATAAATATTTAAAAAAAAGTATACTGGTTAGCTTTATGGTTCTTTGGAATTATAATTGAAAACCACCAACAAAATGGCTAGAATTGTTATTATAAATTATATTATTAAAAAATATATTCCAATTTTTTTAGTTTAAAATTTCATTAAATTTGAACATTATTTGGGTCTTTCATAGGATAAAAATCTACTCATGAAATTAATATGATATGTTTCTGATGAAAAGTTATCTAAAAAGTTGGCTCTATAGGCGACGAAAAATTTATTGATAGTTTATTTCAAAAACGCTGGAAAATATTATAAAATAATTTAATACCTACCCTAACATTATTTTTTTTAGTTATTATTTATTTCTTTATTAATTAATATTAAATTTTGTCACAGTAAAGGACATTATGTAATAGAGAAAGAGTAGCTCATTCACACTACATGTACAATAAATTAAATTAAATTAAACTACAGCAAATTAATAATCCTAAAAATAAATAAATAAATATATATATATATATATATATATATATATATATATATATATATATATATATATATATATATATAAACAGAAAGAAACTTAAACTAATCAGAATAACAACTTAAATACAGGCTTACTTATTTACAATATTTACATTCATTTCGGAGAAGTCCGAGCCGAGTTTTCTCCCTATATGTAGAAGGAAAAACTGAACTCTGGGAGATCTCAGCGCCTCTCTCTCAGCCGCTGGCCACTGGTATTAATGATCAATGGAGGCTGAGTAGAGGCGTTATACCTATAGATGTACATGGCGTGAGTTGAGAATCTGGCCATTGCCGGAACTCCAATATATGTATATTTACAAAAGATCTCGGGGCCACTGCCGTTCCAAACTTCGAGGAGGATTGTAGCGATGGGTGGAGCTAGGTAGGGATTGTTCAAGGGGCTTTGAATGGTATGCAAGGTTCTGATGAAATTAAGATCATTTTTCTGGAATACGGTTTAGGAAAAATGGAGTATTAAGGTCATGCCATGGGTTTTGTTAGTTCTACTATGGTTCGAAGGATTTTGGACTAAAATGATTGGAATCGTTTGAAAAAACTTTGCAACTCCGCACAGTTCTAGTCCATAGGTCCGAAAATGTTTCAGGATTGTCTTGCAGATCAATAATTTGTAGTCAATAAAAAGTTGAAATTTTCTATTCATCCTAACATTGTAAATTTTATTGTAAATTACTTACACTGATTTTATTAGAAATGAAACTAACGCCAGTAATTTTAATTATTTAATATTTATAATGGTTTTTGTTACTATCATCAACTTAACATTTAAGTCGACGATTTTCTTAGCTCTAAGATGGCAGTTTTCCGTAATATTCTCTTTCTGTGAGCCCTTAATATAAGAGAAATTTTTTTCCGCTGGACTTGTTCAACCGCAGCCGGAAAGAAGTCATCTGGAATATATTTGAGTTATGGAACGTCAAATATCCTTATAAAAATTCTTACAGTATCTCAATATGTTGATAAATTAAATATAAACTTTAATTTACTGCTGACGTATTCCTAATAGTTTGCACAAATTAATTATTATAATTTTTTTTCTCTTTTTTTATTTCCGTTAATATCTAGATTTTTTTGATTAATAGTTTTGCTTATATACTCGTTTTAAGCTCAATATTTTGCGAACTCATATCAGTTGAAATATTTTTAGGAAACATCTAGTACAAATGTCATGTTTATTCTTACCTTGATTATTTTACCGGTGTATGCATGTTATGTCGAACATTTGCGTGTGAAATACCACATTCGCTTTATTATGATAGCAGATTAGATCTTAAAACAAATTAAATGAATTTCCCACAGCCATGAACCATTATAGATATAAAATCCACAACATCTAGAATATTAACCTGACTTTCGATTATTTTTTTCTATGTCCGTCTACTTGAATTTTGGTGGACAGCAAAATTTTCTAACATCAAACGCATCCAATCCTTTCAGTCCAAAGTCCTTCGAACAATAGTCGATGCTCCATTCTATGTAACCAACAAAACCCTACATCATGACCGTAATATCCCATTTGTCATCGACCTTATCCCTAAAAATTTTCCCAAATTCCATCATAACCTTATAAATCATCCAAATCCCCCAGCACAATCCCTATCTAGTTCCGCTCATCCCTACAATCCTCCTCGAAGGTTGAAGGTTGGTCCTTAAGTCGAATTTCCTACAAGGTTGAAGCGGCAGTGACCCACAGATCTTTGTAGTAGATATCTTGGAATTCTGGCAATGTCCAGATTCTCCACTGAAGACATGAGTGTATGTGGCTAAAGCGCTTTCGCTCAAACTCCACTGGCTTTAGCACCAGTGACGTGGTTGAGGGAGTATAGGAGATCTCTTGGAGTCCTGCTTTTCCTTCTATAGTTGGAGGGAGAGGCCTGGCTTGGGGTTCCCTACCTAATTGTATATATTGTATACAGGTGTGACTGTGTTCATACATCACTATAATTATTGTCCACGTGACAGATTATTATATTTCTAAATAAATTAAAAAGAAGTCCGTCTATGAACTATACTTTTTCCAAAAGGTTCGATCTTTTCTTTTTCTTTTCTTTTTTTTATTACAACGGATTCTCTTTCTGAAGTTGACGATTCCCTTCAGGGTTTTTGTAGAACGGACCTCTGAATTATTAGTGACCTTGTCCAAATTTCTTACTAACTCCCTCAGACAGTCACGAATTAAATCGTGATACATCCAAACTACCTTTGACGTACGATTCTAACTACTTTACTTTTTTTTTTCTAATCTTCAAAACTAAAATTGCGACGAAAACTGAATACATACACATACTTACTTGAACGTAATGGGCGTATTCCTCTCAGATATACTGAATCGCCAAAAAGACCTAATTCCAAAAAAATTCTAACCTTTTAATCAAAATCATTACGAGCTCATGACAAAAGCACCTTGGTAACTGTATTATTAGTATAAAACCTTTTTATGCTTATTTAAACAACGATATCAACAGTTTAACAAGGAAATAAAGTTTTGTAATTGTTGGTTTTCTGAAATGAAAATGAAAAATTTATATCCGAAAATAAATTAGTAAATAAGATTGATTATCTGGGTTTTTTTTTTTTTTTGGCTTTAAAATCTTCTTAATACAATATTCTAATTGTAAAATATTTAAAAGATAAGATGAATCGCATTTTAATTTGAAAAACAAAAAATTATAAAAAACATCTAATTTGGTGCCATATAAATTAAGTATTAAAGCATCAAACTTTTGAAAGGATTTATTAAAATTTTACCATTAAAACATTTTAAATTTAAAAATTGCTTGTAAATAGGTTATGGCATGCTAACAAAGCCCAAAGAGCAACTTTGTAAAAATATTAAAATCAGTTGACATTTCCTTGAATATCCGGAAAATACTAAAAAGGCGCTGGATGAGAGAACCCCTACCTTAAGTAATCGAATTAAGCCTTATTATCCCCTGAAATAGCTAATTTTCTGATTGCCAACAGGTAGTTGACATGCAAATTAACGTTAAAAGAAAAAAAAATCAACAAGTAACGGTTGTGGTGAACGATAGTATATTCGCAGAATTATTATACATACTTATTATCACATTACATTATACATAATTATGATACATCGAAACAAGTTAAAACACATCCAAGATTTGCTACTAACAATCTTCAGTGATTTAAGAAAATCGGATATGGAACTTAACTGAATAAATTTATTGAAAAAAATGTGCTATTTTAATTTGCTGAGTTGTTCTGGAAAACATAATTGTTGCAAGTTCACCGATTATGTGTTTGAGCCCCGTTGCCGAGGGCTTTTAACTCTGGTAATAGTTCTCTGCCCTCTCGCCTGACAAGTTCGCCACAATCGCCTCAAGAATAAGTTCCTCTTATTCGATGGTAGTTCTATATAGATATGTTTTCTGGTTAATTATGCAGACAGTACTCAGCCAAACCGCCTACTCCATGGCTGAGTTAGGCGGTAATCCTTTCCCTGTGTACCAAAGGAGGGGATCGTTTGGACGTACCTTAATCAGTGGTGTTTGCCCCAACTAGTTACTAACTCCTGGTCACTAGTTACCCGAAGGCAGCTTCTAAATTGTGTTATATGTCCAGTGTGTCCCTTCGCCTCCGCCAACCTGAAACATCATCCCAAAGTAATTTGATAGGGAAATTGACAAGAGTCTTTGATTTTATTTTTTATAAATTCAAAACTCTGCGTTTGTAATGCGTTATTATACTTAACAAATATGGGTTACAAAACCAAAGTTAAAAGGTAAGTTTTAATTAGCTAGTATTCTTCATAATAATTACAACAAGACACGATCTGAGATTTTAGTGTAATAAGCAGTACAAGTTGGCTAACTTATAAAAACTGCTTAGAAAAAGACTTAAAGATAAGCTGAAAAAAAAATACACATTCTAGACTTTAAAGGTATCAACAACTTTTCGATAGTGCCCGTCTTAACAATTGGCGAAACGATACATACTTTTTTTTTTTTTTGGGTCCTCCTCTTCCTCGCCGTTAAGGCTAAACGGGGTTTTTTCCGGGCCAGAGGGTGTGAGCGAAGATTTAAAAGACTCCCCCGGCCATATATCAGGTTGCCGGGCAACGGCGGTGCAGTGCACACGCTTTAGCCCATTCGACCACCCCGCCCACAGGCGAAACGATACTATTGATCAACTCAACGCAAGGTTTAGGAACTTGCCCATAGTTATATCGGTATTATTATCATCTTGAACTATCAACGTAAGACTACCTGTTCGGGTAAGGTTCAATATATAACTAACCGTTCTTTCTCATCCCTAGGTTCGAAATAGAATAAAGTTGAGCACTCTGTATTTGAAATAAACGCACTTCTATTTCGCTACAAACTTTACACAGATATTTTAGACCTTTTGAATTTTAATCTTCTTATAACAATTAATCGCATATGCGTTTTTCCAAAATATGTGAAACTATTAAATATTTATAAAATAAATATCACTAAGAGACCGAGATTGTTTGGACAGAGATGAGTATAGCAAGGCGCTCAAAGGAATAACGGCGGGAAAAAAGCGCTCCAAAAACTGTGTTGCTGCGTGGTCTGAGGAGAGAAAACGATCGAGAAATCGATTGATTCCCTAAGAGTACTAGCATAGAAAATACCTGAGGCGTCAAGAAGGGGTTGGCATGCTTTAATTTTTGGAAGAAACCATATTATTGGATGGCATCAATTTAGAGGAACTTTCACATAAAAACATGATGGACCACAGTAAATATAATTGTATTAAAAAAAAAATACAATTTTTATATTTCTACTCTCGCTTGCACGTTTGCAAATATTAGCTTAAGCTATGTAAATTATAAACAGACTTATCAAAGTGTAAATTGGTTTATAACACTGCATTTTTTTAAAAGTCTTGCTATCGAGAAAAAGAGCATTCAATTAAAAGGTGTTTCTATGGCATTTTTATGCTATGGTAAGATTCCGATAATATAGGCACTATGCATAAGTCTGGATACTCTGTGCGATCTTTTTTTCGATTTAGTTCAACCCAGAGAAAATAAAAAAGTAAATAAATCTCAAAAGAGAGGTACTTTGCAGATACTGTATTGAGGGATGGCCGAGCGGGCTAACGCGTGTGCACACCACTGCGCGTTGCCCACCGACCTGATAACCAAAGCTAGAGATGAAAAAATAATCACGAGTTGGTGTTCCGGTGCCGAGGGAGGGGGAGGGGTTTACCTCTGGCATTAATCCCCCCTCATCCCCTGGCCCGAGAATACTCCCCTGTAGCCTGAAAAGCGAGGAAGAAGAGGACCAAAAAAAAAAAAAAAATACTCTATTAAGTATTTCTGTGTGGTATAGAGGCCTTAGCATTTAAACACTGATGACGGAAAGTGTAAAGCATTTCGTAACGCCCGAATTTGTAAAAAATTCTTTTGTCCGATAAAAAAAATGGCTACGAAATTTAAACTATTTGGAAAAAGGATGTAGAAATGATTTCGGCAGTATTGGCGTTTTTAAATCTAATCTAATTTATATCTCCACATATATTATTACAGTAAGGCTCGAAATCGGTATTGTAGCAAATATAAGCCCCTGTCATGCTCGAATACTATGAATGGGGTACCGTTGGATTCAGAATTTCACGGGGGGTTAGCGAATCGTATTCTCCACTTTTGTTTTTCTTTCCAAAATAAACAAAGTCGATACAAACTTTTGCTAGGCTTCAATACTAGAACGGTGGTAGGTCTGTAGATCGATACGGGACAAATTGGATCTTGTCCTGGGTTTTTAAGTATAAAAACGTACTATTTTCGAGATAAAGCAAGGCATGGGGTTCGCATCCACACAACCTGACGTTAATTGTAGTACTGTCATTTTGGATACATGACTCATTCGACTTGAGGCCTCTATGATCGAGAGAGGAGGAGTTTATATTATTCATCGATGGTGTTTTTGATCGGCAAGCCATATGGTCGTTAATTCTTCACCAAATCTCAAGATTGAGCCACCGATTTTGAAGGCTTCCTTCTCCTTCAGGCGGGAAAAATAGTCCAATCAGCCCGAAAATTCAGGCAAACAAGTTATAAAAGAAAACAAACTTTATTTGCGAATAACTAAAAAACTACATCGAAATCAAACAATTTTTAGCAAAGATACAGCTTATTTAAATTTGTAAACATGTTGGTTCCAAACATTAATGAAAATTTAAATTACTTTTTGTTTCCTTTTCTGATTATATTTTCCAATCATGTAACAATTGATTTTTTCATCTTTTGATACGTTACATTATTTTATTTTATTAGTAATTAGGCATTTGATAATTTTTAAGCAAATTTTTCGCACGGGCCTACTAGTTATAATTAAATGTAATTTTGACAATAATCCTTAGGTGAAGAGGTTGTAAATAAACCAATAAATTACATTTAATTTTCTTATCAACTAGACATCATTAACAGCACTTTAAGGATCGTCATAGCTTGCTTTGATCATAATCAGTACTCTAATTCATCGATATAATTTTCGCGACTAAAAGGAGGAATAATTTTTTTAATGCACTTCAATAAATTTAAACTCCTTGTTTAAATATCCATTCTTATTACAAGATCCCGACCTTCTGACCTTAATACCCCTTTTAACAGATCGGCCTCTTTTCAAAACTCCTTCGTTTCCCGCTCCGCTTTAAATTCCGCTTCTAACTATTTCTGGAATTCCCTCCCCTTTAAAAATCCATCATGTTCCTTCCTTATCCACCTTTAATCCTCCTATTTCAATACCTATTTACAAAACAATCAGAAAACGACCAACCAACTATTAAGTGGTGTTTCAGTGCCTTGTTTAAAAATTTATGCTTTCTTTATATACATATATATATATTTTTTTTTTCCTCACATGAACTTGTATATACATTTTTGATACTTTGTCGTTTCTGTTCTACAAGAATGTTATGCTCCTAAAGTTGTTTAAGTTATTTATTTATCTTATGTTATTTTATTTTTTTATAAATGTTTCAATATGTACTAAGATAGAATATATAAATCTTTATTTATTTACAATTTACTCTAATTTATTTATTTTTACTTGGTGCTCATCTATTAGGGGAATTTATTTTTCATTTGTTGCTTTTCTTCCCATTTTCTTTACTTTTTTAACTGAGCAGCAATTATTTTGTTTCATTTCGTATTTGTATTATTTATAGTTCTAGATATTTTGTACGTAGTTTCTTCAGTTTTGTTTTCTATATTTCGTTAGTTCTATAAGACTTTTTTTTATTTATTTAAACTCCACTGGGTTTAGCCCTAGTGACGCGGTTGAGAGAGGAGTGCAGGGAACTCCTGGAGTCATACTTTTCCCTTCACAGTTGGAGGAACAAGTCTGGTTTGGAGTTCTCTCGCCAAATTGTAAATATTGTACATAGGTGTGTATGTGTTCTTTTTATTTATTTATTTTTAGGTTATTTTATTCTTATTTATTGTATATATATTATTTTTCTGTATACTTTATTTTATTTATTGTACATAGAGTGTGAATGTGATCTGTGAACTCTATTATAAATGTCCTAGAGACAGATTGTAATATTTTTCAATAAATAAGTTATAAAAACTATTTATTTAATGTAACTATTTTTATTTAATTTAGTTCTTCTGCACTGAAAAATATTTCTTTTGTTATTCTTAGGGAACCTCGTCCCAGAATAAAGTTATTTTTCTATTTAATTGTATTCTAAATACTTTGGATAGTTATTCCATTCCCTAGCGGCAGTTTTTTCAAAGATCCAGAAATTGGTATTTGGGTTTTCTACGTTACTAGTTGAGACCCATTCACTTTACATCGGCTTTTTTGTTTTGCTGTTTAAAGATATGATAATATAAACAAATTATGTTATATTAATTAATTATTTATGGTATTAGATTTACAAAAACGTTGACTCCTCATGGTCAACGAAAAAATATCCAACTACCTCTTTGGCTGGCCAAGAGACGTGGACAAGAAAGATAACCGAAACAAAGGGATGAAAAGCTACACACGACAAGATAATGTCGTCCTCAGAGTGGTGGATTGAATTAGAATCGATAAGGGTGACGTTCCACGGAGGCGTCGTCACTATAAGTATTCCCTTCCAAAAACAAAGCTTCCACCGCGTTTCTATTTCTGGAACAGATTCACACAGAGAACCCATACATTGCGAAGGAACCCTCAGCAGTGTCCCATCTACGATCCAGGCCATTGAATCATCTTTACTTTTAATGGAATACTATAGCATAAGCTGCAATTGTCGACACGGCGGATCTACGGAGGAAGGGGCTTTGGGGAGGCTTTGGGGCTGAAGCCCCCTCCCAAAATAGTAAAATATAACCATGTAATGAAAAAAAAAATTATCTCTTAAAGTATTATAGTTCGTGTAATTACATTTAAAAGGACTTAAGGAATCAGTTAAACACCATTTCATATAGGTAGTTAGTTTCTTTATTTTTTTCCAAACTAATTATCGTTATTTTTACCGAAATAATGCTTTCGGGCTGAAACCCTCTCTCCCTCCCCCAAAATTAAATCCTGGATCCTCTAGTGGTTGTCGAACAAGAATAGCTCTGAATCAGAAAAGGTCACAAAGTATGAATGAAAGGGATTGCAATGGTCATACAACGAAGTTTGTAGCGTAGCAACTCAACGCTAGCTCATCAATGCTATCAGAAATCCATTATACTGTTTCTGAACTCTTTAATAATCGATCACTAGCGGATTCAGGATTTCATTTTGGGCGGAGAGGTTTCAGCCCGAAAGAATTATTTTTTTAAAATATTACAATAATTACTTTAGAAAAAAAGGAAAGAAAGTAACTACCTATACCAAAAGGTATTTAAATGATTCTTAAAGTCATATTAAAGATAATTACACAAGCAATAATACTTTTAAAGTAATTTTTAATGTTTTTTTCTTAAGATATGGTAATGTTTTATCATTTTGGGGGCCATCAACCACAAAGTCCTTCTCCCTCCGTAGATCCGCCTGTGTAATCGATTGAATCACAGATGGATCTTCGCTTTTACTGGCTACGTCGATGTGTTCCCTTGATGTACCCTCATTACAACCTTAGCCATTAACAATTTTTTATGTCTTGTTATAGAACTTGAAAGGGAGCCAAGTTACTCGAAACGTTGTTATGTTTTGAGTAATAATAATATTATAACGGCTCATTAATCCTTGCAGACAAAGTATATAAGGCATATATTTTTTTTTTTTTACCTTCGAAGAGTGTCAACGTTCGATTTGAATCCAACAGGTCGTTTCTAAACTCAGCATAAATCGATGTCCATTGTTGCTCTATTCAATCGATTGGTGGATTTAGATGGAATTATCGTTGAGTATTGAAACTTCCCCAGTCTATCGTATTTCATTACATTCATCAATATCGTACTGTGGCATTTTTCTCATTTCTGTTAATTGTTATTATTAAAAATAATAACATCTCCTTAGACTAGATAAGGATACAGATAATATATCTTACACGAAATTAACTTTTAGAAAAAAAAAAGAAGATAAAAATGAATTAACATAAAATAAATAAATCAAAAATTTTTTTATTTCACTACTTTTACAATATTGGTCACATGTCGTCACCAAATATAAGTTTTTACCATCTTCTTCTGCCCTGCCAGTCTTCTTCACGTATGCCCCTGTTCATCATTCCTTCCTATTCGTCCTTATACCAGTTTCTCTTCGGGCAGCCTTTCTTCTGTAAATTACATTAAAAAAATAAAAATAACTTCAATATTATAATAGTAATAATTATGGCTCATTGTTGGTGAGTTAGGCATTGCAATTGACTCCTTCGCGTAAATTCTATTTAATATTACATAAAAGGGAGTTTTAAATGTTAGATGAATTATGTATTATGTGATTGAAGTCATGAATGGCTACTGTTTGTTGTCGATTTGTGTTTGATTCGCATTAAACTCTATAAATAATGTTTATGAATTTCGAATATAATGGGCCTTTGGAAGTTTCTCGTCGATTCTTCTTTGGGAATTCATTGCGATGGCAGGGTACAAGCCAGTGCGAGTTCGGAGTTAGTAGTTAAAGAAGATCTATTTCTATTTATATGAAAATCAACCATCTATGAAACGTTAAGATCATTACATATATAATTATATTTGTCATTGATTAAAAGGTCTTGAGGATTTTAAGAAATTTAGTTTTAGTAGATAGCTGGATAAAGAATGAACTTCATGATTCATTGGATGCCAAAAGCTCATCTTCTTAAGTTCAAATTAGCCTGATTATCTTCTTAAATGATCCTTTGACGACTAATTGGATTTTCAGAGCTTAGTTTAATAAATATTAATCTATTCAGAAACGATGAACAATTTTTTTACACTCGTCAGGCAATGTTAAATTTCTCCACTTTGGTAGTCACCACGGTTTTAAAGTATTGTTTAGTCACTCTTAAATCTTTGTATGGCCCACTGAAAAATTAGGAGAATATTTTACATTAGTTGCCAAACGTGAGGTTAGTGAGAATTAAAACAGTTCGCATTCTTTACCTTGTCGCTTTCAACTGAACTTCTGGACTGAAATTTTACCGAACAATAATAATCACTATCATTTAGAGGAGTCTAACAGTGTTAGCATAAATCTGGAAACAGTAAAAGGGATCTTCCTTAACGGAGAGGGATCTTCCTCAACTAATGGACAAAGAGATGTATTCGTACTTCAAAACATATTGCTAGAATGAAATGGTAGGACCAACCCAGTTTTCTCTGGGAAGAAGAAATAAATGAGAAAGGGAAAGATAACAAGGTTGAATTAAAAGGAAGAGCGAACTGTTTGCACAGATAATAAAGGCAAATGTGGATTGTTTATAAATGAATCAATAGGTCTTTATAGATATCCTAAAAGGAGTAGGAAATGAAAAGAATAGAAAAAACAAATAAAATATTTCACAATAGTTTATTTATTCCCAACAATAATACATCTAAATTAACATTACCTTTCTAGTGACAAATTATTATTTTTTATTTATCTTTTTAAAAACTTATTTATTGAAAAATATTACAATCTGTCTCTAGGACATTTATAATAGAGTTCACAGATCACATTCACACTCTATGTACAATAAATAAAATAAAGTATACAGAGAAATAATATATATACAATAAATAAGAATAAAATAACCTAAAAATAAATAAATAAAAAGAACACATACACAACTGTATACAATACGTGACAAATTAAAATAAATAAACAGTTAATTCCAATTATTTGTCTAAACATCTTTTTTCAACATTAATTATTTGGCAAAAAAAAAAGGATTACTTCAGTAAACATTAAAAATCAAAATCCAAAACAATGGATTTGCAGTAGAACCTATAAAACATCTAGAGATCATATTTTTGCTCCTAATTGTCCGACTTTAACGATTTTTTTTTGTAAGGAAATTTCGTAAACTTAAAAAAAACATCAATATCCACAAAAAAGAATTCGAAGGTGTGAATTGATTTTTATTAATTTTATTAGATATTCATGGTGACGGGATCGATTTTTATAGGTGAAAGAGGATCTATAAATATGTTATGTAGATAAATTTAAAAGGCATCAAGAAGACTTTAGCCAATTTTCATTGAAATCGGTACATTGTTTAGGCGCTACAATCTATTGCAACGCAGGTTTTTCGGCCGTCATTTTGAAAGTAAAAGGCGTATAGTATTGTCAATGAAGAATGATCATCTTCGAGTGACTTCTGATTTTAAATCCAAATTTTAAAAAAAATCGGTCCAGTAGTTTCAGAGAAAATGCGCGGACGGCGGACGGACAAACAAATTTTTATTCGTTTTTCGAATTCTACGTATCCTGAAACGTATAACCTCAAATTTTGAGGGGGGTTAAGTTTTGAATTTTTTTTCTCGATTACAATGGTTCATTATTGAAATGATTAACTTTTTAAAATAAATCATATCAAAGGTACTTTAGAAGACGTATATGAACATTGGACATTTAAGCCCTGTAAAATGACATCAATGGGGATAAGACCTAATTGATATTAAAGACCACTTAATTATACAATGATAAACCGAGTTTAATCAAAATCATTAGAGCTATTTTTGTGAAAATGTATTTCAGCGTTGATATAAAATGGCACTTCCGGTTAGCCGATTTTAAAGAAAAAGTTGCTGTCACATCTAAGGCATATACCTATCTTTAATACGTAATATCAGTTTCGTAGGACTTTTCGTTTTTGAGCTAGACTGCTAACATACAAACACACAGACCATTTTTCGGGACTTGGTCATTTCGACTCAGGGTATCTCAAAACGTGTGTTTCCATTGAAAACTCAGATTCAAAAATTTTCTCGATCGCAATACTTACCCTTCTATATATTACATATAGATAGATAGATAGAAAGTAAACTTTATTCTGGGACAAGGTCCCTTATGAATAACAGATATGAACAAAAAAATTAAAACTACATCTGGCCAAAAATTACATTAATCAATATTAAAGAATATATACAGTATCTTCAGTGAAATTAAATTAAAACAAGTAAAAATAAAATAAAATTTTGAGAAAAAACGAAATAAAAAAAAAACAACATTATTTAAATGAAGATAAAAATAAAATAAAATAAGCATGGGTTGATTTTTAAAAATTAAGACAATAAATTTTATCAATCATTCACCTCAGTCAAAATCTATTTCACAATATTTATTTTATTGTATAACGTCATTTTGGGATGTGAGAACGAATTGGTAAAGATGATATTTAAATGAGGACAAGGAAGAGGCATGACGGATTTCAGATGGCAAGGAATTCCAGAAGGCTGTGGATCGGGAAATAAAGGAATATTCAAACGTCTTAGTTCTATGGGAAGGGATATAAAGGTCGGAAACACGGGATCTTGTTTTCTGGGAGTGGACCACGGGTTTAAACTGTAGGAGACTGTAGATGTAAGAAGGGTGTCTAGTGTTGATTGTTTGGAATAGGATGGAATATATACGTAAGTGAAAGTAATAATCAACCAAAATATCAAGTAGAAGGCTCAAATACAGACTAGGACAATCTTTGTAATTTTCCATGAAATCACTCAAGGATTAGGCCAAGAATTATACCTATTCTAAGAAAAAAAAAAAAAAAAAAAAAAAAAGAACCAATTTATAATCTCATGATAAAATAAACTGCAGACATTATATTCCTTTATACGCGACCAGAAGCCAAGAGATACATGAGATCTGGTGAAGTTCGCCTTTAGGAATATTCTGAACGTTATCAAAGCGAACTCACGAACGTTAGAGAAGCTGCCATTGGTTAGGCGGTAGGTGAGGAAGCTCGTTAGACCTGCTCTGATTGGAGGCTGTCCCTTTGAGAACGGACAACTAGATTATGGCGATAGACCCATTACCGTTTTACTATTTAGCTCTTTCCTTCAACCTTGTTTGGGGCTTCTGTGTGTCCCAAGATCTTCTTCCTGAAGAAAGTTTATGGAACTTGGAAGAATCTTAATAATACTGTTATCACGACATCAGCCTTTCTATTGCTTGTTGAGATTATGCTGTTTCGGGGGAAGTACTAAATTTTTAGTTAAGGATTTATTGTTGGATGCTATTTTAAAATTATGAGCCTGACAGATAGTCAGGATTTGCATTCTATGTACTAGTCCGTGGTACAGACCCATTTTTATCAAATTATTAACATCCGCCTAAAACATCGTGAATAGCTTAATCTCATCGTAATCTCGCAATTAGGGCGTTTTAATCTGGATATCGGCTAACTTTGTCTATTTGATTTCCATTCGAACACTCATGAATATCCATTCGATTTCTCCTTGTATCGGAGTACAATATGATTATAAAGTTGAAATTACAAAAATATTGATCCGTTTGGAGTGATCTCTACCCCCATAATGTCAAAATAACCAGGTCAAACAGCCCAATATTTTTGAAGGTCAGCTTTTGTTTCGATTTTTTGATCATAGTATCTTACGATTAAAGTGGAAAGGAAATGGGCATTCATGAGTTTTTATTACTTAATTAAATAGACAAACTTTACCGATCTCGTTGCCGAGATTGAAAATGCCCCACTTCCGAGAATTTTGGTAAATAAAATATTTGTTGGTTACGGTGAGATTGAGGTATTCACGGAAGCGGATGTTAATAATATGATAAAGAGGGGTCTGAACCACGGACTATTCGGTTTCCATTTGAATCGTTAAATAATTTAATCTCAACACCGAAAAATAAGGTGACCTTCAAAAATATTGTACCGTTTTGTCTATATAACCTCGTTATTTTGGCATGTTGGTGGAGAAGGTCACGCTAAACGGCTTAATATTTTTGTAGGTCCTTTTTTTTCTGGATTTTGTCATCAAACTATTTTGTTCGATTGGATTCGAGTGGAAAGCAAATGTGTGTTCATGAGTTTTTGGTACTTCATCAATAAGCATATATTGGAGTTTTTGCAATGGCCAGATCCTCCACTCAAGCCAAGCATGTTAGATTATAGCGCCTCTCCTCAGCCTCTATTTATCCTCAATACACTAATGCTGCTGAGTGCGAGGCGCTGGGATCTCCTAGAGTCCTGCCTTTCCTTTCACTAGTAGGGAGAAAGGCTTGGCTCGGAGTTCTCCTGAGTGAATGGATTCTGTGACTATTGTATAGTATGCATGTGTTTTAGTTGTTATTTTGATTTGTTTA